GGTTCGAATAGTTCGAATAGTTTCGAATAGTTCGAAAAGTTCGAATAGTTTGGGGGTTGCCTGGGGAGACCAGTTTGGGAGGAAGGGGGGTTCGCATAGTTTGAATGGTTTGGGGGCCCGGCCTGGGGCCCCCAAACTATTCGAACTATTCGAACTATTCGAACTATTCGAACCAGGGGGGTTCGAATAGTTCGAATAGTTTCGAATAGTTCGAATAGTTTGGGGCGTCCCCGGGGAGACCAGTTTGGGAGGAAGGGGGGTTCGAATAGTTCGAATAGTGTGGGGGCCCCAGGCCGGGCCCCCAAACTATTCGAACTATTCGAACTATTCGAAACTATTCGAACTATTCGAACCAGAGGGGTTCGAATAGTTCGAATAGTTTGGGGGCCCGGCCTGGAGGCCCAAACTATTCGAACTATTCGAACTATTCGAACCAGGGGGGTTCGAATAATTCGAATAGTTTGGGGGCGAGGGCTGGTGCCCCAAACTATTCGAACTATTCGAACTATTCGAACCAGGGGGGTTCGAATAGTTCGAATAGTTTCGAATAGTTCGAAAAGTTCGAATAGTTTGGGGGTTGCCTGGGGAGACCAGTTTGGGAGGAAGGGGGGTTCGCATAGTTTGAATGGTTTGGGGGCCCGGCCTGGGGCCCCCAAACTATTCGAACTATTCGAACTATTCGAACTATTCGAACCAGGGGGGTTCGAATAGTTCGAATAGTTTCGAATAGTTCGAATAGTTCGAATAGTTTGGGGCGTCCCCGGGGAGACCAGTTTGGGAGGAAGGGGGGTTCGAATAGTTCGAATAGTGTGGGGGCCCCAGGCCGGGCCCCCAAACTATTCGAACTATTCGAACTATTCGAAACTATTCGAACTATTCGAACCAGAGGGGTTCGAATAGTTCGAATAGTTCGAATAGTTTGGGGGCCCGGCCTGGTGCCCCAAACTATTCGAACTGTTCGAACTATTCGAACCAGGGGGGTTCGAATAGTTCGAATAGTTTGGGGGCCCGGCCTGGTACCCCAAACTATTCGAACGATTCGAACCAGGGGGGTTCGGATAGTTCGAATAGTTTGGGGGCGAGGGCTGGTGCCCCAAACTATTCGAACTATTCGAACTATTCGAACCAGGGGGGTTCGAATAGTTCGAATAGTTTCGAATAGTTCGAATAGTTCGAATAGTTTGGGGGGTCCCCGGGGAGACCAGTTTGGGAGGAAGGGGGGTTCGCGCCGGCCTGGGGCCCCCAAAGGTCAAAATTTGCCGGAATCCCCTTGGCACCCTGCAAAAGACCCGCAAATACCGCACAAAACGGGAACGGGTAGGAACAACTTTGCGGGTCGAAATTTGCCGGGATCCCCTTGGCACCCTGCAAAAGTCCGCAAATACACACAAAACGGGAACGGGTAGGAACAACTTTGCGGGTCAAATTTGCCGGAATCCCCTTGGCACCCTGCAAAAGACCCGCAAATACCGCACAAAACGGGAACGGGTAGGAACAACTTTGCGGGTCGAAATTTGCCGGGATCCCCTTGGCACCCTGCAAAAGTCCCGCAAATACACACAAAACGGGAACGGGTAGGAACAACTTTGCGGGTCGAAATTTGCCGGGATCCCCTTGGCACCCTGGAAAAGTCCCGCAAATACCACGCAAAACGGGAACGGGTAGGAACAACATTTGCGGGTCGAAATTTGCCGGGATCCCCTTGGCACCCTGCAAAAGTCCCGCAAATACCACACAAAACGGGAATGGGTAGGAACACCTTGGCGGGTCGAAATTTGCCGGGATCCCCTTGGCGCCCTGCAAAAGTCCCGCAAATACCACACAAAACGGGAACGGGTAGGAATAACTTTGCGGGTCGAAATTTGCCGGGATCCCCTTGGCACCCTGCAAAAGTCCTGCAAATACCACACGAAACGGGAACGGGTAGGAACAACTTTGCGGGTCGAAATTTGCCGGGATCCCCTTGGCACCCTGCAAAAGTCCCGCAAATACCACACAACACGGCACAAAACGGGAACGGGTAGGAACAACTTTGCGGGTCGAAATTTGCCGGGATCCCCTTGGCACCCTGCAAAAGTCCCGCAAATACCACACAAAACGGGAACGGGTAGGAACAACTTTGCGGGTCGAAATTTGCCGGGATCCCCTTGGCACCCTGCAAAAGTCCCGCAAATAACACACAAAACGGGAACGGGTAGGAACAACTTTGCGGGTCGAAATTTGCCGGGATCCCCTTGGCACCCTGGAAAGTTCTTCAAGTACCACGCAAAACGGGAACGGGTAGGAACAACTTTGCGGGTCGAAATTTGCCGGGATCCCCTTGGCGCCCTGCAAAAGTCCTGCAAATGCCGGGAACGGGTAGGAACAACTTTGCGGGTCGAAATTTGCCGGGATCCCCTTGGCGCCCTGCAAAAGTCCTGCAAATGCCGCACAAAACTAGTGCCCCAAACTATTCGAACTATTCGAGCCAAGGGGGTTCGAATAGTTCGAAAAATTTCGAATAGTTCGAATAGTTCGAATAGTTTAGGGGGGTGGGGTGCTCGGGGAGACCAGTCTGGAAAGGAAGGGAAGGCCATGACTCGTAATTTAGTGTTGGGAGAAGGCCCGGGCTCGTAATTTAGGATTGGGGGAAGGCCCGGGCTCGTTATTTAGTATTGGGGGAAGGCCGGGCTCGTAATTTAGTATTGGGGGAAGGCCCGGGCTCGTAATTTAGTATTGGGAGTAGTTTGGGGTCCGGCCTGGGGCGCCCAAACTACTCAAACTATTCGAACTATTTGAAACTATTCGAACTATTCGAACCAAGGGGGTTCGAATAGTTCGAATAGTTTCGAATAGTTCGAATAGTTCGAATAGTTTGGGGGGGGGCCCGGGGAGACCAGTCTGGAAAGGAAGGGAAGGCCATGGCTCGTAATTTAGTGTTGGGAGAAGGCCCGGGCTCGTAATTTAGTATTGGGGGAAGGCACGGGCTCGTAATTTAGTATTGGGGGAAGGCCCGGGCTCGTAATTTAGGATTGGGGGAAGGCCCGGGCTCGTTATTTAGTATTGGGGGAAGGCCGGGCTCGTAATTTAGTATTGGGGGAAGGCCCGGGCTCGTAATTTAGTATTGGGAGAAGGCCCGAGCTCGTAATTTAATATTGGGACAAGGCCCGGGCTCGTAATTAAGGCCCGGGCTCGTAATTTAGTATTGGGAGGGGGGGTGTTCGAATAGTTTGGGGCCCGGCCTGGGGCCTGGGGCGCCCAAACTATTCAAACTATTCGAACTATTCGAAATTATTCGAACTATTCGAACCCAAGTGGGTTCGAATAGTTCGAATAATTTCGAATAGTTCGAATAGTTTGGGGGGGGCCCGGGGAGACCAGTCTGGAAAGGAGAGGAAGGCCCTGGCTCGTAATTTAGTATTGGGCTAAGGCCCCGGCTCGTAATTTAGTATTGGGGGAAGGCCGGGCTCGTAATTGGAAGGCCCGGGCTCGTCATTTTTGGGAGAAGGCCCGGGCTCGTAATTTAGTATTGGGAGAAGGGGCTCGTAATTTAGTATTGGGAGAAGGCCCGGCTCGTAATTTAGTATTGGGAGGGGGGTGTTCGAATAGTTTGAGGCCCGGCCTGGGGCGCCCAAACTATTCGAACTATTCGAACTATTCGAAATTATTCGAATTATTCGAATAATTTCGAATAGTTCGAATAGTTCGAATAGTTTGGGGGGGGGGCCGGGGAGACCAGTCTGGAAAGGAGGGGAAGGCCCTGGCTCGTAATTTAGTATTGGGAGAAGACCCTGGCTCGTAATTCAGTATTGGGGGAAGGCACGGGCTCGTAATTTAGTATTGGGGGAAGGCACGGGCTCGTGGGGGAAGGTCCGGGCTCGTAATTTAGAATTTTGGGAGAAGGCCCGGGCTCGTAATTTAGTATTGGGGGAATGCCCGGGCTCGTAATTTAGTATTCGGAGAAGGCCCGGGCTCGTATTTAGTGTTGGGAGGGGGGGTGTTCGAATAGTTTGGGGCCTGGCCTGGGGCGCCCAAACTATTCAAACTATTCGAACTATTCGAAGCTATTCGAACTATTCGAACCAAGCGGGTTCGAATAGTTCGAATAATTTCGAATAGTTCGAATAGTTTGGGGGGGGGGGGCCGGGGAGACCAGTCTGGAAAGGAAGGGAAGGCTCGGGCTCGTAATTTAGTATTGGGGAAGGCCCGCGCTCGTAATTTAGTATTGGGGGAAGGCCGGGCTCGTAATTTAGTATTGGGGGAAGGCCCGGGCTCGTAATTTAGTATTGGGGCTCGTAATTTAGTTCTGGGAGAAGGAGGGGGGGTGTTCGAATAGTTTGGGGCCCGGCCTGGGGCGCCCAAACTATTCAAACTATTCGAACTATTCGAAAATTCGAACCAAGGGGGTTCGAATCGTTCGAATAATTTCGAATAGTTCGAACAGTTTGGGGAGGGGGGGGCCCGGGGAGACCAGTCTGGAAAGAAAAGAAGGCCCGAGCTCGTAATTTAGTATTGGCAGAAGGCCCGGGCTCGTAATTTAGTATTGGGGGAAGGCCCGGGCTCGTAATTTAGTATTGGGGGAAGGCCGGGCTCGCAAGATACTTCAAGCTTGGTCTGTGAGGAGGCATCCAGAACAAGCAGACCAGGAAAACCAAAGAAAACTGAAACCCTCCTGCAAATGCCGGAAGAGCTACATTGAGCTCAGGCCCGGACCCCAACTGCATCTGAGGACTTTGCAGGAACAAACAAACAAACATGTCCGAGCCAGACATGAGTGCATATAGGGAAGCACCCCATGTATGGAAGATGCCCTTCTGAGAGCAGGAATGCGAGGATGCTTTGCCTCATGGGGCCTCAGAACGAGCTCACTTCCCGTGCGGTAGCAGTGACGTCCCCTCGGAACCGCGGGCGGAAGACGCGGCTGAGCCCATCCACCGCCCCGTCCCCCTACGGCGGGTCCTCCCGATCGCAGCTGCTGCATAGGATCTCAGGACTCAGGACCATCCAGGCCAACATCCCACCTAGGTATCCCCGAGCGCAGTCGTAGCGAGCCGCCGCCTCAGAGCAGCCTTTGCCCGGTGGGACCGAGCCGCCACACACAGTTCCTGCAACAAGAGGGAATGTAGCAAACTTGGCATCTCCCCAGTGCGGGCTGCTACAGCGCGAGCGACGTGCTTGATGACGACGGCAGCCCCAGCATCCCAATTGCCCGTCGTTTCTGCCACCATGGGCACGAAGGTGACCCCCTGAGCCTCACACGTTCGTGCAGTGCTCTGGTGGTCCTCCTTGTGTCGGGCATACGCGGCCGCTGCTGCTCCAGCCTCCTGACCCGCCAAAGCCAAGGTCTCTTGCCGCTGGGGCGCCGTGATGGCGAAGTCAAGCGCGGCAGGGGACCCGGCTAAGGAAGGCACGTAAATGTCAGCTGGTCGCCGACGAGCCAAGTGGGGCAGGAGCAACCCCGGGCGCTCCTTTTCGGGACGGAAGCCCGCCCGGTCCAACCAGGTGTAGAGGACATCCCGGACAGAGTTGTGGCGCAGAGTGCGCTCTCCACCAGCAACACAAGTCGCAGCGTGGTGGCTATGTCGGTCCAGCACACCATCACAAAGGGGGCACCAGCAGTCCTCCGCAGCATCGGGCACCCCCAAACGAAAGCGCAACTCAGCGCAGAAAACTGCTGGTTCGAGCCGTGTCCGACCGGAGGGCGTAGCTGCCAGGAAGGCCCTGGCCCCGAGGCCAGCTTCCGAGCGGAGCACCGCCCTTTCCACCAAGGAGGCTTGCGCCAGCTGCGCTTCCCAGCCGGCCAGGTCCACACGCTCCGAAAGCGCACGCTGTTTGGCCGCCAAGGCTTCGCACAGGGACAGGGCTGAGTCTTGGGGCAGCTCCCGATTCAGCGCCCGCAGTGCGGCGGCCACAGCAGGCGACCCGTGAACGGCCTGGGCAGAAAAAGCACGATCAATGTCAGCACAATCGGCCAAGCTTGCTCCAAGCGACGCCAAGTAGGCAGCTGGGGCATGCACCAAGCTAGCGCGCAAGCCCAAGCCCGCCTGCCCAACCCCCCGTGCAGCCTGTCGCCACTGCCCAGCAGTAAGGTGAAGGCCGGTCAAATCACCGAAGCACCGTTGCACGTGGCCATCGAAAGTGGCCAGGGCAGCGGCCTGGGCACACGGAGGGTTGCAGCGCATGCTATGGACCACGCGAGCGAACCCTCCAGCAGCTCGCCAGCCTTGGCTGCCCGCGCCGCAGTGTGGGCGCAAATGTAGCTGTCCTCCCCAATTGCTGCACCCAGAAACTCGAAGTTATTGACGAGGACACGGCTGGACCCATCGGGCCGTTGCAGCAGGTTGGCAGGGAAGTGCGGCCGAAGGAGCTGCGTGTTTGGGGCACCAAAAACCACCAACTCGCACTTGTCAAGGTTGAGCTCCAGGCCAATGGCTCTAGAACGCGTTTGGGCAAGCCGGAGCGCAGCCCCTAAGGGGGCAAAGTCGCCAGCGAGCACCCCGTCATCCAGAAAGTGCACCGCAAGGTCCAGAGAATCCGACCGCAGCTCCGCAGCCAGCGGTTGCAAGGCCAAGGAAAACAACAAGGGTCCCAAGGGATCTCCCTGCTGCACACCAGCTGACGACTCCAAGGCGCGGTCACCGAATTGCAGGCAGCTCGGCTGACGGTAGCACCAAGCAGCCCAGCGGGCCAGGGCCGGGAAGTGGACGACAGTCTGCTTAAGCACTTCCTCTCTGCTCACACAGTTGAAGGCATTGCGGAAGTCAAGCTTCAGGAGAGCTTTATGCGACGAGCCAGAATGCCTGGCACTCCACGCACGTACGGCGTGCACAGCTTTTTCAGCACCTCCTTTGACAGCCACGCCTACCTGAGCAGGCCAAAAGAAAGCACGTGCCTCATCCTTGACCACTGCCATTAAGCACTTGCCCGTGAGGCGGCGGAGCAGCTCGCCAACCGCAATTGGCCTCACGCCACCAGCTGGTTTAGGCAATGCCACAAGCCCTACGCCAGCCAGCACAGGAGCTATAGTTGCAGGGGCCCGCCCCTGGGCCATGAGGTTGACCACATCGGCGAGTTGAGCCATGAAGCTGTCACCCCCACCCGCAACACAAGCATCCCGCAGGTGCTGCATGCGAAGTCCTGTTGGGCCTGGGGCGGTCTCAACTGGAAAAGCTCGCAAGCAGCGGGCAACCAACTCCGGGGCCAAAGCAGGAGGGACTGGCAAGTCACCCATGGCCGGTGTGGAAGGCAAGGGCCGGTGAGGGTGGAGGGCAGCAAGAGCTCTGGCAGTTTCCTCGGTTTGAGGGCAGAGACCCTTAGACATGAGGGCAGCGCAGGCCTTCCGATCAAAGCCTTCACGCCCCCAGCTGGTGGCAATGTCCCGGCGCTCCTCGGGCGTCAATGGTCCGGACCGTGGGGGCCGGCGGCGAGGCCTGGACTCCCAGAGTGAGAGGCGCTCGCCTTCCTGCCATCGCTGAAGCCTGTCAAGAGTGAAGGCAGCAGCAGCCTTGCGGTGTCGCCGACCCCCGCGCCCCGGCGCGCACAGCACACATTGTGGCAGCATCAGAAGCTCCAGCCACGCCGCGACATCATTGCGGTGGGCCACAGCAGCTAGCGCCCGAGTGAGAACCTGGTTCCAGGCGTGCCGCGCAGCCATTGGGATGTGACGGAGGGTGGACGTGCGTGCAGATTGTATGGCAGCCAGGGTAGGCAAAGGCAAGCCGTCCACTTCCATGGCGTCGACGTCATCCACGGCAGCTGCCCTCGCCTCTGGACGGCAGGTTGGGTGGACGCCATAGCCCACACACAGGACAGCGGATGCGCCCACGGGCCTGCATCCAGGCAGTGGGCACGTCCCCATCCAGTGAACCAGCTAAATGCGCATCAATATGGGCACGCATTGAGCTCTCATTCGCCCAACCGCGAGCACGGGCCGGGTCAGAGCACGGGCATCCGGCAACAGGGCAGTAAGTGCGCCCGCCCCGCGCAGCACCGGCGCCACCATGAGCGGGAGCTCGAGGAGGCGGTGAGCGCTCGCGGGGCGGGCGCTCAGACCCGATAGGTGTTCCTGGCTCAGGCCCGGGATGGCTCGCTTCGCCCACGCGCCGGCCTCGCAGAGGCCATCCCATCCAGAAGGACAGCTGCGGCTGCCGCTGCCAAGTGGTCCTCTGCCGCTCACACATATGCCCACGCCGTCGGCGCCACCGTATCACCACCGCCCCACCTCGCAGACCAAGCAAAGGATCCCATACAGGCAAGGGCGTCACCAGGCAAGACACCTGTGCGTTGAGCAGTTTGGTGAGGCGACGCCTGTCACGTCTGCCCAAGCTATCGGGAATCAGCCCGATGGAGTCGGAGCATTCCCCCTCCCAGGTCGCTGCATCGTTTGTCCCCAACCACCACAAGCCCCAGAGCAGGAAGCCAGGAGACGGTGCCATGGCTCACTGTGTGAACCTCGATGGCAGTCTTGAGGCCGGGCTCGTGGGGGAAGGTCCGGGCTCGTAATTTAGTATTGGGAGAAGGCCCGGGCTCGTTATTTCGTATTGGGAGAAGGCCCGGGCTCGTAATTTAGTATTGGGAGAAGGCCCGGGCTCGTAATTAATGTAAAGCCCTGGTCCTTAAGATTTCGGGCTCAATTTTTGCTCCAAAGAGTCAAATAGCCAGCCCTGGTCCCTAAGATTTTGGGTTCAATTTTTGCTTCAAAGAGGCAAATCGCAAGACCTGGTCCCTGAGATTTTGGGTTCAATTTTTGCTCCAGTCAAATCCTTTTTTTGCCTTAGATAGGGGGGTCTGTGAAGGTGCAAGATTGCGCCTAATGAGCAACTTCTTGGTGAAAATCCTTCTGTTAGATGCCAAAAATCACAAAAACTAGCAATTTTGTGAAAATCCTTGTGTTTTGGCCTTAGATTGGTGTCTGTGAAGGCGCACAAAAATGAGCAATTTGGTGAAAATGCTCATGTTTTGTCCTTAGATAGGGGTCCGTCAAGGCGCCACATGCAAACAATCACGAAAATATGTTTTGGCCTTAGGTAGGGGTTCGTCAAGGCGCCACGTTGCAAACAAATCACCTAAATAAGCCGGTGAAGGCGCAAAATTGCCAAAAGTCGCAATCTGGTAACATCCTTATGTTTTGGCCTTAGCTGGGGGTGGGTGCAGGCGCAAAATTACAAAAAGCACCAAAAGCAGCAGTTTGATGGAAATCCTTATGTTTTGGCCTTGGATAGGGGTCCGTCAAGGCGCCACATTGCAAAAAACAACCAAACTCAGGAAAATCACAAAAATCAGCAATTTGATGAAAATCCTTTTGTTTTGGCCTTAGCTGAGGGTCGGTGAACGCGCAAAATTGCAAAAAATCACGAAAAATTGAAAATCCGGATGTTTTTGCCTTACCTGGGGGTCTATGAAGGTGCAAAATTGCCAAAAATCGCCCAAATGAACAATTTGGCGAAAACACCTATGTTTTTGGCTTTAGCTGGGGTCCGTGCAAGACGCAAAATCATCAACATCAGCAATTTGGTGAAAACCCTTTTGTTTTTGGCCTTCATTGGGGGTCCGTGAAGGTGCAAAATTGGAAAAAGTCACCGCAATGAGCAATTTGGTGAAAATCCTTATGTTAAGTTGGGGTCCCTGAAGGAGCAAAAAAGGGGAAAAAATCCAACAAAATGAGCAATTTGGTGAAAACCCTTATGTTTTGGTCTGAGATGGAGCTGTGTAAAGGGTCCTTCCGAGTCCTTGCTCAGAAGACTTGTTCCTTTTCAATCTTCAAGGGTTTTAAAGAATGTAAGAGGTTTTTTCTAATTTTAAGGGGCCTCTGTGGCATATTCGTTAAGTATCAACAATCTTCTTCTGAAAGAACCCTCCGAGTTTTATCTCCTGAAAAGAGGAAAAGGAAAATGCTAAGCGAAGCGTTCACTCATTGTTTTCCCCTAAATCCGATCTGAATTCACTAGATCTTCAGCGAATATGGTTTGGAATAGGGTTAGGCTTAAGCTTCAGCCATAAGGTTCGCGATTCTCCCCCCTTTCCCGCAACCTCGTCGTGCCCAGGTGCGTGGTTTAAGAATCTAGAATTAATAGACCTCAGTGTCCGGCGCAAAACCTTAAACAACTAAGGCTCATGCGTGCGTTTTGGCCTTAAACGTTAAAGGAATAGGTTTAGGAATAAGGCTATGTCCCAAAACTAAATAAGAAGCATGTGTAAATCTTGGAATTTACCCTAAGCCTTCGTCGAATACGCTGTTTAGAAATCTAAACCTTAAACGAGAAGGGTTTATGAGATATGTATTTGTGAGTATTGGGGATGATGTGTGTGTGAGAAATGAGAATTGTTCTGGGAGACCCTTTGGGAAACATTGAAATGACAACCCATGTACTTGCGAGCAAGTTGGGCTTGTGGGAAGGCCCAGAACCCAGATACTTGCTCACAATATTCTCGCTGGATCGGGGTTACATACAAAAACCCAATGCCCTCAAATCCTAGTCTGACGGTTTGAGGATTCCCGCCCTTTCCTCTCCATTTCTCTATGTGATATACAATACATATACGATACATACCTACAAGATGTGGGTAGAAATTCTAGCTGCTCATGCAACACATACGTAGAAATTCTACCTTTTCACACGCCGCACGCCCTTCGTGTTTTGGAAGGAACACGAGGGACGAAGAGAAAGGACCTTCTCTTCCCATTCTCCTCGTCGAAAGGAAAAAAGAAAATATCTGGATAGACTTGAAGAGAGAAGAGAACGATGGAACAGCAATGAGAAGCAAGAAGGATAGCCAAAACAGTCGATATCATGTTCCCTTCATCGTTTGTTCTTTTGTCTTCGGTTTGAGAGGAGCACGTAAAGAAGAGAAAAGAAGAGAAGAGATGGAGACTGAGGGGAGGGGAGTTTCTTCCTCCTCTTACCTATCAATTTCTCAATAAGATAAGAGAGAAGGGCTCTTGTCCATTCTTTGTTGTTTGCCCCCTGCAGTCTCTTCCTCTCTCGCTGAACGAGAAAAGAAAAGAGCAAGGGCCAGCAAGGGCAACGAAAAGAGACAAGAAAAACTCCTTCCTCCTTTTTTAGCAGTTCCCTTGAATTTCCTAAACGCAAAAGAACAGAAGACCTGGGAACGCAGGAGAGAAAGAAAGCAAAAGAGAGGGTGTAAGGGCTCTCAGCCCTGCTCTACGGGGGGGGGGGGGCTCCCTTCTTGCCAGGAACAAAGCAATCCACCCTGCCCTCTTTCCCGCCCATTAACTTCTCTTTTCCTTGTCCTCTTGTGTATTCATTTGTCACGTACAAGAGAACAAAGAAGAGAGAAGAGAGAGGAGGCTGTATTCTTGCATGTTCAGCTTTTCTGCTGTAAGAAAAGCGCTAAAGGAGTGGGACAAGAGTGAAACTGGCACCTTGTATATGTATTTGTCTTTCTGTAACGATAGACTACAGAACAGGGATAAGAGGGGAGAAGGAATTTCTTCGCCCTGTTGTATGCCCAAAAAGAGCAAAGGGAAGACTTGCTCCCCAAACAGTCTACTGTTGTTTTCACCCCACATTCTGCAGCGAAGCAAAGAATCTCTCTTTCCATCTCGTCTTATCCATCTGCTTCTCGTCTCGAAGAAAGGGACAAAGAAGAGAGAGAGAGAGAGAGAGAGAGAGAGAGAGAGAGAGAGAGAGAGAGAGAGAGGAGAG